AAACAACCGATCTTGCACTTTTGGTGCAAGCCTCTCAACGCAAATAACCAGAGAATCTATAATATGTACTGAGCCCACTGCCACGAGAGTTTGCGACGTCACGACACAGTACAGCAGGACTGTCCGCGAGTCACAACTCACCGGAAGTTCCCTCCGGTAGCAAGCAGGAGGCAAATCAAACCACAAGCCTACTCGCAAGACTTCCGCTGCTTTACAAGCCTTCGATTAACCGAGCAGAATCCAGCCCTACTTGCCTGTTGACCGCAGGCTTTGGGAGGTCAGCAGTAGAATTACTTGCCGACCTCGTGACCACCTGGGCTGCCTGGTATGACCGGCCAATGACTGGGGTCATGATTGGCGGGCAGACAGCCTTACGGGCCTCCTGGAACGAGCAGCCATTTCGCGCCTTGTATTCTTGGATGGCGCGTTCTTGAACTCAAGAAGAAGAAGAAGAAGAAGAAGAGGGGGAAGGGGAAGAAAAGGGGGGAGGGGAAGAAGAGGGGGCAGAGGAAGAGTCCATCCCGTCCTCCCCTAAAACCCCAAAGCGAATAGTCAGCGGTATCTCAATGGTGGATACCACATGGGTAGGAAGAACCTTTTTATTCTTAGGCAGAGACATGCCTGTTGACCGCGGGCTTTGGGAGGTCGACAGTAGAAGTACTTAAGTCGACTTCGTGGCTACCCAGGCTGCCTTTACATATGACTGGCCAGGGACCGGGGTCACAACTGGCGCGCAGAAAGCCTTTCGGGCCTCCTGAAATGAGCAGCCATTTCGTACTTGGAGCCAAGTCAGGCAATCCTTACTAAAGGCTGTGTGCTGGCTGTGGCAATTGGGGCAACAAGGACTAGCCTTGCATTCCTTCTAAGGATGCCCAGTCTTGCCACAACGAAGACACACAGCTGCGCGTCGGCATCTCGACTGACTATGGCCGAACTTCTGACACTTGAAACAGCGCAGAAGGTTCGGCACATAGGGTCGCATGTCTAAACGAACGGTAGCTGGAGAACGACACGAATCAAAGGTCAGGATGATCGTGTTGGTGAAACGGTGCCTCCCCCAGGCGGAGTAATCCGGCGGGCATGGGTCACACTTTGTCACAATTTCCTCCATGCCGCAGCCCTTTAGTCCATGGCTACGGACAACCCCCTTCGAGCAGTTCAACTTCTGGTATAGTTGAGAAGTACATTGAATATCGCCGAAGGTCGTGGTGTACAGGAGTTTGGCCACTTCAGCCTCTTTTTTTTTTTGGTGAATAGTAGAGGGTTTTACGGCGCTTGCAACTGCATAAGGTCATATGAGCGCTAAAGGGTGGGTGTCAACAGAGAAGTCTTTACAGGGAATCAGACTTAGACTGCTCACCTCTCCAGCTTCAACAGCACAAGGTCTGCTTCGACTATCAAGGCACCCCGGAAATAGCAAGTCACAAGAGAGAGACAAACATACAAAAGAAGTAGAGGTAAATGACAATAGTAAGGAAAGAAAAAGCAGCAGTTCCCTGTTGTAGATCAGGCACAGTAATGAGCGTGATATGAGTCAGCCCATTTACAATTCTACTAAGCTTGAACGAGAAATGTCCCTCCTTTGGGAATGGCCTAAAGACACTACAGTCAGTGGCACTGCCCCGGGGGGTCTTCAGTCTCTGTTGCGCACTTGACGAGGAGTACACCAGAGGACAGCTTCTGGACATTCGTAGGAATGTATCCCAGAACCTGTCGTAGTGCATCTCCCATCTTGAACAGATTCCAGAGATGCCAACCACAGAAAACCGAAATGGGTATTGGGAAATATGAAAATGTGTATTTTCAGGGGAAAATGTGTATTCCCCACGACCGACCAACTAGTAATAGTAAAAATTACTAGCTCACCAGCTCGAAAAAGGGAGCACACACACATACAATAATTATATATATATGCAGTCAACAACATGTCTGTGTTCAATGTTTGACTTAAGTATTTCAATCTGTTATATATTTTCCTCTCATTATTATATAAAAAATAAATCCTGCTTTGAGAGTTCGGAAGGGCCTAGAACAAGAATTTCGACTATCAAGAATCAGTCTGGGTGTCGTGATTCATTTATGAACTGACAGACTCAAATTATTGCTCAAACTCAGAGAACAGCAATAACTTGATAGGCTCAAGTAGACCCGTGCACTGTGAGAATTGTAACAACTGTGGGAGGGCAAGATGCAGTGACACTGAAAATCTGCCAGTCTTGAACAGAAAGCTACAACATACACCGTAGGTATAATTTACTATCGCCCATCCAAGTAGATGTAGGTATAATTTACTATCACCCATCCAAGTAGGTATAATTACTTCCACCCATCAAATGAAACGCGAACACTTTATTTCAACAACACAGACTTGCAAAGTATGACGGGTCCCGATTCCGCACACGGCCTGCACCAACGCGCGCTTAGCAGAAAGCTCTAATCAAAATTCTGAAATGCGCTTCCAAGTTTTTGTCCTCTGGTGTTGCCTTAACCCCCCCCCCCCCAAAAAAAAACTCCTCCCCTATTCTGTAGTCATATACTTCGCAGCGTCCGTTACTCCCACCAAAGACGGTCTTTACTCACACGATGCCGCATTTTTTTATGACGCGAATGCGCGCGGGTTCAGTAACCGGTCACGATGGCGGGCCAGACAATCTAAAAATCAGACGGCGCTTGTATTTTCTTTTCTTTTTTTCTCTTTCCACAAGCGACGAGTCCGAGTGTTTATTACAATTTATACTGCACAACCTGCATGCCACAAATGTTGCGTTATCAGACAACTGCTGGCAAACTTCTTGGTGGTAGCGAAAGTAGATCTTGATTTTCCCGATCGAGCCTCGGTGTCACATACGCTTCCGCCATAGCGTGAAAGTGAAAAGTACTCCCCGGACGGGGAAAAGCTGAACGAATATAATATCATGATGGCGACGGGCAAAAATGAACTTACTGACCTTATCGGACTTGGTCTTCTATTCCAGTTCTGCGATACTGATACTATTTTAAAAGATGGGACTTGAGATAATTAGGTTTACTCGCCCAAGCTGAATCTCTTATTTTTCGCATTCCAGGATGCGTATTTTTTCATGAAAAGTCGTATTCGCATATTTTCGGCAAAAAATCGTACTAAAATACGTAAAATCGTACTGGTTGGCATCTCTGAGATTCCCATCAGTTATCTTCTCCTGTGCGTCTTCCGTACTGCAGATGGCCACGTATGGCTGCATGGGAAGCTCCCTGGGAGAAGGTAGGAAAAAGACAGCAGTAAAGTTCCTTTTTCCATTTTTGCTTGGCTCGGCGGCCGCACCCACTTCCGTGACCAGAGACTTTTTTAAACGTTAGGAGCTGGGGACGGCGGAAGGGTCTTTAGAGTGTGGAGTTTCCATGTGAGAGTGTTTTTATTGGTTTGAATCCAGGGCTCCCCACCCACCATCGAGCCCAACATGGGGACACATTGCTCGTATGATCAGAGCTCTGCCAGGGCTACCTCGGAGCTATACTCTCCACAAGAGTGTACGAGACCCTCCCATCAAGATTGGCCCAGGGCTTGAAGGGGTTTCAACTCCTAACCGATTGAGTGGGATGGGCCGTGCGACCTGTCTAAGAGGAAAACCTGGGCCAAAGAGGTGTGTCGGCGAGGGACAGTCCGCAGACTGATCTCACCTCAACCTCCAGGTACCCGGTTTCCTTCTGCACGGGTTACACCTCACGGTCAACAAGGCGCCCACTCTGTGGGATGGGTGACCTCTCTTTTGGTACACATGAGGTCAGCGGTGGAAGAAAAGATAGAAGAAGGAAGAAAGAAGGAAGGAGAAGAGGAAGATACACCTAAGTCGGTGTCGCATCCGGATCCCAGAGGGTTGGGGTCTGTGTGCGACACCTCGTCATTGAAGGGGTTACACCTCCTGCAGACGAGGCAGTGGGTCTATTTATTTCCCCCCGACCCACTGGGGGTGGATCTATGAATGTGCAATGGGGGAAGTACAAAACAACATGATCATCAAATTGAAATCAACGGCAATTTAAAAAAAAAAAGAAGATATACAGTGGTGTCCACTTAACAGCAACTGAGATAAGAGCAACCATAGTTTAGGTAACAGAATTTTCCAATATAAATTAACCCCTTTAACAACAACTTTTGTTGCAATAAATTATCTGACTTTTTTTTTGGGTGATGACTAAAGCTGGCCTATAATTTAAGAGAGCGTGTGTGTGTGTGTGTGTGTGTGTGTGTGTCTGTGTGTGGGGGTGTGTGTATGCTTCCCCCTTCTCCTCACAACACCAGTTCTGGCCAAAATACATGCACACTATACATTGAGTAATTTGGCTCAGTTCACACCCTTTCGCCATAAGCCATCTTCCTTCAAGAGTCTCCTGTAATTAATTCAAAATTTGTCGAGTTTCAAGTAAACAAACCCTCCAAAATATAGCCAAGCAGTCTACTCACGGTCTTCAGATGCCTTGACAAAGGACTTGTCGCAGACATGCTTTGTTTTGCTTGTACAGGACACTGCCAGATGTCTCAACGGAACGAGTCTGTCGTTTACTGTGATGTCTCCAACCTTGAATGTTTCAAGTTTTGAATTTTGGTCCCCCACAGCAAAAGATGAATGCTTAATACACAAAAAAGAAAGAAAAAAGAATGCAGGTAAATTACATAGTATATCATGTCAACTGTTTGTGGGTGCAAGCATACTATTATATCATTATGGTTACGTTCACAGAAGTGTGTGGGGGGAGAGGATGTGTGAGAGAGTGGATATGTATGGGTGGGTATGAGGTAAAATATCAACCACTACCATGTAAGGATCTAGACAAAGATTGATCTTATTTTATTTTACTCTTTATGTAGTTCTGTTAAGCTTTTTAAAATCTTAAACGAGATAGGTGGGTGGTTGGCGGGTGCTCTGGTCTGGTTTGCTTCTTCTTTCCTATCAAACCTCTATCGTCCGTATCTCCCCTTCTTCTCTTTTAAGTTTGTTACTCTCTTGTAACACCTCTAACCTTCTGGTGCTCATATGACTTAATGCAGTTGCGAGCGCTGTAAAACCTCTCCTAAAACTAAAAATGAGATAGCCTTAGGTGTCTCGTTGAAATCCTACTCTTCAACAACCAAAATATATTAAAAAATCATATTGGGAAACAACGATATTTTGTTGAAACTCAAATCCTAAATGCTGACTGTTAGAAAAATAAATTCCTGCCATGAACTCCCCACCAAATTCAAGGAGATTTCAAGGAGGTTTCAAGGAGAAATTTTAAAAATTCAAGGACATTTGGTCAAGAAATTCAAGCCATTTTCAACAGCGCGCCAAAAACTTTTTTCATGTTCAACCCGGCGAAATTCAAGGAGTTTTCAAGAAGGCGCCTCAAATTCAAGGAGTTTTCAAGAAGGCGCCTCAAATTCAAGGAGTTTTCAAGATTTTTTCCTTGAAGAGAAATTCAAGGAGTTTTTAAGGACTCCTTGAATTCAAGGAGGCTGCAAGAACCCTGGATAGTTGTTTTTTTCTCTCTCTTGATATATTTTACTTTCTGGGCTCAGCACATTTGAACAGTTTGTGGATGCATTCTCTGTTATGCTTTAAGTTTACTATAGAAAAACAAACCAAAAACAAATAAACAAGGGGATAAGTATCAAAACTACTCTTGTGAGGGAATTTCCGGACCTGTCACTTTGGTAAAAAGAGAAATCTCAGGGCAAAATTTCGGAATATGACATATTTCTATTTCAGGAGAGCTCTGTTCACACTGGAAGAACTAGATAGGGCAGCAGCTTACCAGTAGAAAGTCTGCTGCTGATCGAGTCACATCCCAAATGAGCAGTGACACCTCAGACATCTTAGCTGCAAACACCATGGTCCTGTTTAAAAAAATGTAATTGTAGAAGTTTCATGTCTCCATCAACACAATTTAGGTCACTTAAAAGGTGGGCTGCTTCGACACTACCTTGTGTCAGGGCACAAATTGGGCTGAGAGAGAGACCAGCAGAAAGATGGAGTTTCCGAGATACTAAAAATTTCTGCCGACACGGGAATCAATTCATGTTGGTGCTGTAAATACCAAGTGAAGCACCATAATGTTATTTTTTTAACATGACCTACATTTTTTAGACTACTCAGAGGAAAGAAAAGGTGTTAAAGACTAGATTTTATACGTAATAAAAAAATCTGGATGGATAACAATAAGAACATACACAATTTTTAAAAGTGGTACCTTTTTTGATTGCCAATTAGTTAAGTAATATCAGGAGGAATAATGAAGACAAAGTAAAGGAAGAAAAAGTGGGAGTTGGAGGCGTGACTATGGTATTTTGACATACGTGTTGGTTCTATAATTAAACTCCTTCGTGAGTTGGACACTTCACAACTAGAGTTCATATCATTGTCAAAAACTATCACCGTTTCCCTAAATCAGTGCTTCCACCGGCTGAAGCTGAAAAGTAAGGAAAATTCTGCTGGGGGTCTGGGGGCCACAGATAAGGAACCTCAAATACTGCAGGGGGCAGAAACATGAAAATGAGACTATCCGAAGTGGAGTGCTATGTTAAGTCAGACCACACATACCTCAGAAATAAATCAAAATATATATAACACACACTGTGAAGCACAGTTGTTTACTCTTTTCATAAAATGAAAACAAGACACACACAATATCCCACCCAGTCAGGCCATCCAGCTTGCTAGAGACAGAAAGCTCTTTTTCCCCTCCACCCCCAAGAAGTGCAAAAGGAAGGATAAAGTAAAGTAAAGAAAGCAAGACATTAAACTTTCCAAGAGATTTTTTTTAAAAATCCACTGGAGGTCCATTCTTTTCTTCTCAGCTCTCATAGTTCCAAATAGCTTAGAGAGACATACATCTAATCATGACTGTGGCCAACATATATATGTCATGATGTGGTAAAATCAGGCGTTCGTCTATTTTGGGGCATATGGAGTTATTGGTATCATTTTTAAGCTTGTTCATTTTCCTCGCTTTCAACGAAAAAAGGATTAATCTATCATGAAAAGAAAGATATTTGCTATTGAAGATGGTAGGGGTTGCCTCGTTTCAGTGGTAAAATTAGCTAGAAAATGGCTGTCAAAGCTTGGTGACTTCCATATCTTGTGAGTCCTTGGAAATTGCAAATTTACATTTTTTGTGCCTTTAATCCATGTTTTTCTGTAAAATTCAAACAAAATTGTGCTTCTAAATGGACAAAAAAGGAGGTGTTACCAAACTAGCAGAAAAATGCTGATTTTTTCAATTTCATTATTTTGACGAGCGCCTGTTTCATCATGATGCCTTACATATGTCAATGTACATAAAATTCAAAGTTAAATTTTTTAATTTTTTTTAAACAACCAACAAAACACACCAACCAAAACCCCAAACAAAGGACATGACTCACCAGGTGGACAGAGTACATAACTGAGAAAGTACCAGTCCCTCCTTGTACTGGCTGCGAGCGTACTTGTATAAACCCACCCGCAGGTACAGGTCACCCGCCACTCGTAGAGTTGCTAGGTAGTCCGGTAACAAGCCCCACAGCTCTCCGGTCATGCCATCTGCAACTGGAGGGCACAATACTTTTTTTAAAACAAACTTTTCATTCTTCAGCATAGCTGGCAATATTTTTAACATTAAAAAGAAAAAAAATGTGGTGGGTCAAGATGCTGGGAACTGGCCTAATAACCCCACATACTTTTCTGTGCCTCATAAATTCAAGCTATTCAGGGTGGACTTGCAGCAAAAGATTCCCTCAATATGGACTTCCTTCTCATCATTGTTTGCAAATGCAGTCTTGAAAGGTCATCATTTTTCTCCAGCATTGGCAAATCGGTAAGGAGCAAAACTATAAAACAGAGAATATGTATTTTTCCTAAACAAAATCAGACCTCTGTTCATCCTCTCCAAAATGTATTGAATTTTCTGGCTGGCTGCTATATTTCAGTGATCGACTGGGCGGCTTAGCGTACTGACGGCACTAAAGAAACGTAGGACACTTTTTTATAATATTGATACGATTGGACTCATATTGCCAATGCACGGTTATTGAGAAATCAATATTTTTGAGTGTTAGATCTAGGTCTAGATCTAAATTGTCGAAATATTTTTTTCTCCCCAAAATCTCTACTTTTTGATGAAATTGCACAAAAAGTGCCACTCAAGACATGTATAGGTTTATTCAAAATGCAATTCTGAATAATTCCGTAAGATACAAGTGGGTTTTTTGCTGTTCGTGATCGTTTTTCAAGATTGTAAAAAAATTATTTTTAAAAAAATGTACAAATATTATGGAATGTAGGTAAATAACTGCAAACTTTTCAATATTTTCCAGTTCTATCTCGGTAACATCAACGCTATACTGAGGTGAAGTCGAAACAGTATTTCTGTTTGACCACTGCAGCATTGTAGACCAGAAATGACTGGTGGTATGTACATTTAGGCCAAGATGCCTGCCTTAACGACACAACCCCCCCCCCCCCTCCAACAGAGGAAGGGTCAAGGAAAAAGTTGCTCACCTTTGAAAGATGTGACACTTCTACTATCAAGGCCACCGTAATATGCTGCCAGACTGCATAGGTACTTCAGAGATTCTCCAATATCTTGGAGTGGACAGTTGCCCAAGGCATTGTCTGCAATGATTATAAAAATAAAAGATCACAACTGCAAAAAGGGTACAAGGGAAAGTGTAAAAAAAATAATAAGTAAAGGACAGCAGATTGCAACATCCCTTAAACATTCACAAAAGAAGGGGGAAAATTGTTTGGATTATAATTACTAGGTAAACATGTCTTGCACACAGCACCAACCAGACATCTTTGAAATACAGCAGACATTTCTTTGAGGCCAAAAAGACTAGAAAAAGGTGAAATGACAACAAGCAAAACCTAACTCTCACTGAAAACCCAACAAAGCAGCCAGCTAATTGCAGGTATGCAAACTTTCGTTATTTGTTTTAGTAGAGGGTTTTACAGCGCTCACAACTGCATAAGGTTATTGAGCGCCAAGAGGTGGGTGTCAACAGAGAAGTCTTTACAGGAAATCAGACTTATTCTGCTCACCTCTCTACCTTCAACAGCACAAAGTCTGCTTCGACTATCAAGGCACCCCGGAAATAGCAGGTCACAAGAGTGTGACAAACATACAAAAGAAGAAGAGGAAAATGACAATAGTATGGATTAGAAAAGAAAAAGCAGCAGTTCCCTGTTGTAGATCAGGCACAGTTATGAGCGTGACATGATGAATCAGCCCATTTACAATTCTACTGTGCATGAAAATAAAAAACAGGGAAAATCAGCCACAAAAAATCTCACCCCAAAATTGAACTATCTGCCAACCCAAGTCTCACAAACAATAAAGATCTCTGTATTTATGAACAAAGAGGCAATACCAGTTTGAGTACGTGTTTTACGGCATTTGCAACAATGAGGTCTTTTGTGCCAAAGATTAGAGGTGTTACAAGAGAGTAACAAACACAAAAAAGAAGGAGGGGAGATAAAGACGATAGACGTTTGATAGGAAAGAAAAAGCAAACCACACCAGAGCACCCGCCAACCACCCACAGGCAATAACAAGCCAGGATCGAGTAAACATAGTGTGTAAATTCGGTTGCCAGATTTGCTTGAGCATTATAATTATATGTAGTCGAACTGCCAAACAGTAAAGGACGCACAGCTAATCTGAATATTTAGTAACACACAAGCTCTGGAATCGTCAATTTCATTTGTCATTTTCGTGCAAATAATTATAAAAATACTAAAATATAGCGTGGCCCCGAAATTGGGAAATCAAGACTGTTATCGGAAAATGCCTGATAAGATCAGGAAGGTTGGCAGGCCTGTAATTGCTCTGCTCCCCTCCATCCCTAATGGCCTATCCAGATGTGACTCTGTTTTATCCCTCTTACTTCCAATATAAAAGCTGGGAATAAGGCATGGATCTACAGCCCTCAGAGACCATCATGAAGAAACGAGGCTCTTATCATTTCTTAAACATTGATCTCAACAAAGAGAACTTTGCTGCAGCATGGTAAATACAAACAAGCATGTGCATTTGTCAACACACTCAAACACACAGGTGCACACGCGCCAAGTCATCGGATGGACACATAACATGTTGTTCTGCCACACCTGACAATGACAGAATAACTCACATTGATGACGGTCGGAATGAATTTTCATACTTGTTGGTTCTTGCTTTTTTAATCAAACGTTTACTTCTGACACTTCTAATAATGCACGTATACTTCTACCATTTCTAATAAGTGTTGAGGAAATCGACAGAAAACATACAGGATAACATGCAATTTGCCTATCATGTCAAGAGGGGACATAGACACACCAAGAAAAAACTGCAGGATACATCTTGATGGTTTTTTATCCGCTTTCAACAAAATCCAACCCCATATATTGGTGTCAAAACTAATTAACAAGACCATAAACAAGAACATTATAGCTTGGATTCTTGAGTACTTAACCCATCGACCTCAATATGTAGAATTTAATGGTGTAAAATCCGACCTAATACAGTCAAACCTGTGTAAGACGGCCACTCATTGTTGAGGAGAAAAGTGGTCGTATAAGACGGGTGGCCGTCTTAGGCAGGACTGATCAAGATGAAGAAAACAAACCATTCCCATCTGAGGTCCCAATCGAAAGAAGCTGCATTTTGTTGTTTCTTTTGTTGTTGTTGGTGGTTTGTATTTTGTTTGTAATTTTTATTTTGTGCCTGATTTTGAACAAGGGTGACAATAAAACGAAATGTATTAGACGAGGAAGACCGAGTGCCATATTAAAACAAACACACGGGTCACCACCACTCGGAGAACGAGCGACGCTTCAGTCACAAGTTCATGTTGACGTCCATTGTTACTTTGTTACAGACTGGGTAAACAGTGACCACTCATCTCACTTACGATTTGTGTATGAGTTCTGGGCGGGGCTTATGGGTTATGAGGGATCACACGTTTACCTCACCAGCAGCTGAAAATTGGTAGCTATTGGTCAACAGTGGGAGGGGCCTACGCAACATGACCGTTGGAGGGACTACCTAACAACAACGACAGGTGATTGAATTATGACGGCTCGCCCTCAACGCGAGGGGCCAATGCACAATTTATGGCAAAACATAATGGAGCCACTAAGGTGGCCGTCTAAGACAGGTGTTATTGCTTAGTGTGATAGGGGTTGTGTGTTAAAATATGGTGGCCGCGGCCGCGTTGGACAGGTGCCTGTTTTACAGTTTAAATTATATAGAAAAAATTCAAGGGGGGAAATGGAAAGTGGCCGTTTGTACAGGTGGCCGTCTTATAGAGATGGCCGTCAGGGCAGGTTTGACTGTATTCATGAACACCGGTGCACCCCAGGGTTGTGTAATCGCCACTTTACGAGGCCTTATAACAACAAATGAAAATGAATACAAGGATGCTGTAAATGTATTTATAAATTGGTGTGACAACAATTTCCTTTTACTAAATGTAAAAAAGACAAAGGAATTAATAATAGACTTTATAGAGTAAAAAAGGACCAATTGCAAACACTATTTATTAAAGATGAGGAGGTGGAGGTGGTAAGTATCTTGGAATAACTACAAGCTTAACTGGCTTCCCCACGCCGCTCTTATGCATAAAAAAAGTAAATTTAAAAAATGTTCCTTTTGAGGAAATTAAGAAGTATTCCTGTCGATAATAAGATTGTCCCTTTTATACCATTCAATGATTAAAAGCGTGATATTATTTTGTATTTGCTGCTGGGCTGAAGGATAGGGGAAAATTTGACAGAACCATTAATAAAGCCAGCAGGATCTCTGGATATGATTTCACTAGAATTTATGAAATGTATAACACCAGTATAAAAAGATAAAAAGCATTATAAACGACACATTACACCCCCTTTCCATGTAAATTGTAAGATCACGCAGCGGCGGATATATACCTCTAAAAACAAAGAAAGAAAGATGTAAAAGAAGTCATTTACCATCAGGCAAAAGGTTATTGTCAGAATAACCATCGGTTTGTATTGCTCTTTCGAATATGTATCTATATCACTCTAAAGGTCTAGTAATTAAATTCCCGCATATGGTTGAATGATGCATCTGATGTGATATGTACATTTTGTCAGCTTTATTTCTCTTTTCATAGTGAATTTTAATGGGACTAATATATAATTTAAATTTCTATGTATACCTGCATGCGTTTTTACGGTTCTGTACAGCCAAGAAAAGTTTACCTCGGGGAAATAAATTATTATCTTATCTTATAGTGCACCAAAAGCATGAACAAAATCACAAATCGTAATACCGCTTTCCTCCTCCGCAAGAGAATCCTGCCTGACAATCTCAGGATGACACAGATAGTCTGCCCTCAGCCTCAAGATGAGAGACAAGGCGGAGGTAACGGCTGGGGTAAGGGGGCCACCCTCTCTGAGGGTGGCGATCGTCTTCAATGCTGTGTTGGTCACCTTGACAAACTCTCTCAGCTGAAATGGGAACGAGAGACACTTCTGGATCAACTGCACCACAGACTTAAAGCTTTAATTAGAGAAGCAAAAATATGAGCAACAAAAAATGAAAGCCACCCCTTTTCACCCCCAATGATTCCTAGATATTGGAATATGTTGGAGGGCACCATTGATATACTTCCTTTCTTTCCCTGTGTTGTTTCCGTCTGTCTGTCTGTCTTGCTTTTCCCTCGCGAAAGGGGTTACTCCTTCAAATCCACAAATGGAGATATTGGCCAAATATCCACACAGAGGTCAAATTTCTAGATTTTCATCAGATACCATTTTCTACAAATTTTGACATTTTTCATCATTTCATACTAATAAATTGTTTGAACCAACAGATTTGACACATCTATGCCCAAAGTAACAAAATCTACAAAGTGACTCATTTTTGTCTGCACTCCTCACAAATACAGTCAAAATTGTCCAAGACAGCAACCTATTATTGAGAAGAAATTTGGCTATCTTAGAGTCATGTTTAGAAAAAAATAAATTACACTTTTTAATACTGGGGGGTGTGTGTGTGTGAGAAATGGTTGTCAGTACAAGTGACTGTCTTATAAGGCTGCCATTAGGGCAGGTTAAACTGTAACCATTTCTATGTCAATGTGCTTCTCTTTACGCAAACAAAACAAGCAACAACAAAAGTCCCGATCAATTCAAACAATCCTCGCTCGATCACACATGGAAAATATTCAAAACTGACCTGTCCAGATCTGAGATAATATTGAGCAGCCCGCGCCTGGTGTTTGACATGTGAGGAGCCGCTGGGAGCCAAGCTACTCATGTCTTTCTGGCAGACCAACTCTAGGCCCTCCTCCGCAGCCAGCGTCAAAAGGCTTAACCTGGCCTCCTCAGCAGCTGCAGTGTCTTGTCTCAGCTCGGCCACCAAGACCAGCTGACTCAGGGCTTGGATGGCCCACAAGTTCTGAGGGGTACGACAAAAGTTTGAAAGGTCAAAACGCTTGCAAAGTTGAATGAACCTGTAAACCTAAATCATAAACATCAATAAACATGTAGCCAGTGGCCTGTTCTCTGTTAAGGCAACATTCTACTTTGTAGTGCCAAAATCTACAATTAAGTTGTTTTTGCTTGTTTTTTTTTTGTTTATTCATTTTCTCATAGTGTTCCATTCAAGGATTAAAAATATACATTTTTGGGAATCATTATCAGTTACATACTTTCAGACATGACAAACTAGAGTGAAACCGGGCTACCTGAAGGACCATTTTCAAAAGCTAAAAACTCAAAAACAATCCATGATATCTATGAACTAATTACACATTTGTAATCTGCACACATCTTAAGAAAATGACGCAAGCTTTCTTTGAAAATACAAATAATAATATTATTGCTGTAAGAAGACTTGCATATTACAGTGAATGACAAAAATAGTCAAAATAGCAAAGTTAAAAAAAAAAAAATGCAAATAGTTTTTTGTTTTTTTTTTACATTAGAAAAAGCTAGCATCATTTTATTTGGAGCCGCATGGTGCGCTTACCCTCAAAATTTCTTTATCTTGAATGTTTTTTGAGTTTTTAGCTTTTAAGCCAAGAAATTAACATTTTGAGGACAGGAGCAAAAACATCTTAAAGTTGCTTTAAAGAATTGTGTTGATGTATTGGCTCACAATGTTAAAAACTTTATGGAGCTCTCTCTTTGAGATAGAGCTTTGGGAGTACTTCCATTCGATTTAGCACATAATTCTCAAGGAAAGTATCTTAAAACACAAAAAAACATATGGAGTACATCTGTCAATCCGTTTGAATGTTGTATCCCTCTCAATTCAGGTTGTCCCTGACAGGCTAACAAAAGCCCACTTCCTCATTGATTTAAATTGTGCCTACCACTGCATAAAACCTCTAAAACTTCATAAATTGGGAAGATGACATATTCACTCATATATAGCTTATCCAGAACAAAAAGAAATGCTTTAAATCGCACCGTACCCTTTTGGCTTTGGTGCATCCTAGAGAAATAAATAATCTTCTTCGGAGACAGCCAGTCCTAGGTCTGAATTTGCCAACTCTGCATGTGTTGCATTGTGCATAGCTACAACATACATTTGTTCCACCAAGGAAGGTCCTCGTTCTAAAGTGTTACAACTTTTCTTCAAATAATTAAAATAACAAATAGCACTTATTCTAAACAATGCTCAATACAGTCAAAGTAAAGAGATGTCATATTTTATCATTACCTTACAAGGTATATGTAGAACATTATATCATATTCAGTCGAACCTGCTCTTACTGCCAACATGTATAAGACAATAACCTGTTTAAATGACTACTTTCCATTTACTCTCTTGTGCAGACCTGCGACTCTATGAAATCAAGAAATCAGGATCTCAGAGGGGGGGGAATCGGGATTTGGTGAAAAAAATTGGGATCAACAACAAATCAACTCGGCGACTGCCAAGCCAACTTGAAAATTTTCCAGGGGGTGTCCACAAATATATCCATGCATAGGCCCTGTGTGTGTGTATGAGTGTTTTATCATTATTTTATTAAATCCTGAGGTATCACGTCAAGGACTCCTAGTCCAAGTGTACAAGAGTACCCGCCTCAACAGTGTGCATGAACTTAAGTTGACCCTGTCAATGGACGGTCCCCGAGACATGTGAAACTCACACGCCAAAGTCACATGATGCCGTGATGCAAACGCACGATTGAAAGTTTTACTGACAAGTCTTGATGACGGGCCCGACTAACCAGAACTTGGGAGTGGACAAAGCTTGTTTTGAAAGTAACAGCAGAACTATTAATAATATTGATCATTTGTAAGCCACAATTGAAAGTTATCAATCACGCCACCATAAGAGAATTTTGAGTGGTAGCAAAAGCGAAAGTAGATCTTGAGAATGTCCAAAGTCGGAATGCCAAATCGATACTACTTTCATTATAGTTGAAATAACACAGATGTGAGCAAAGTTCCAACACAACTTGTCAACTACTAACGTCGATTTTAAAAAAAATAGTGCTCAGAGTTCCTGCACGCAAAAAATTATTGCAATTGGGTCCTTCCCGAGACAGAGAAGAAGGCAGAGTAAGTTTAACTGGTGCAATAGATGGTACAAAAAAATCAGGTTACACAAAATCGAAATTGATACAAAATGAATCCTGATCTGGCCCTGTGGAGAGGCCAGAACATCAACTGCCAAAATCATGTTTGGGTTTCAGCATTCATGGAGACAAAAAAGTAGAGACGCGTCACTCCTCGATTTAGGCCAGATTGGGGGTCAGGCATCCGGTGAAAGTTTCACGCCGTACAACTAATAGTCTGTTCCTCACAACCGAGGAATCACCTTATTGTTTTCATAGTAAATTAAGCAAGGGGTTTTGTCTGAATGGGTTTTAAACACCATTTCTCTTTCTTTACCGTCACGTCATACATAAAAGATAGTCAGAACATTCCAGTAATTCTAGTCAATATGTTGATTAAAAATTTAAATCATACATTATTGCATGTTTCCTCTCGGTCGCTTTAATTATTGGCCTGTTGTTGTTGTTGTTCTCCTCCTCCTCCTCTTCTTCTTCCTTCTTCTTCTCCTCCTCTTCCTCCTTCTTCGTGGGTGGTTGGAGGGTGCTCTAGTGTGATTTACTCCTTCTTTCCTATCAAGCATCTATGGTCCTTATCTCTCCTCCTCCTCCTTTTTTATGTATGTAACTCTCTTGTAACGCATCTATTCTTCGGCACTTAGAATACTTATATGACCTTATTGTGTTGCAAGTGTTGTAAAACTCTTACTAAAACTTTTTAAAAACTCTGCTTCCTCTTCCTTCACTGGAGCATAAATTTGGTGAATTGATTAATTATTCGCACATTTATTGATCAACTTCACCACATAGTACCATATACCACTACTTCCGACGTATTTACTGAGATGACTCCTCGCTCCTCCCTCTGTCCCCGGTATTAACTACAGGAAATTACAAGGGGAAGTGACTTTGAGCGGAAAAGACTATGAAATGTACGGCGTGACATAGTTTTGAGGCACTGCGTCACTGATCCCGCGTAAATAACACGATGGGAAAAGGGGCCAGCTGACGAGTGAAATATCTCTCACTAGTCATCTCCGAAAACATGCAAAACAAAATTTAGAAAACCTTTATAGTTAGGCTCATGGAAGAGCTAAGTGACACTAAAAGAGAGCATGGACTGAGAGCAGGAGCTGGAAGGACTGTGAGAGCTTGGGATGTAGTGAAGTTGAAAACATGACAATCACTGCATCATTGACTAAGTATTGATTTTTTTAAAAATGTTAAATCTCAGAACCAGTTTTAATCAGTATCAAGCCACCATGATGCATAGGCATCCAACATAGGGTCGCTATGCCACACAGCGCACTCTAATCATTAAAATTAGTTTCCAAATGTTACCCTCAACAAAATTCAAATACATATAAAAAAGATGTTTTTCCTTTTTTCCCCTCCAGCATAGCCCCCCTGCCTTCCCTCACCTCAACTCTTCCCCCCCCCTTTTACACTTTCCATCGCCTCCCCCTTGTCCACCCCCTCGTCTTTCCACTCCACGTTTTCGGACACCCAGGTCTATTTTGGTCAAAAAGAACGATCAGTGCCGAGCTCCTATGGCGGAACCTGCCGAGCCTGCGTTCCCCTTTCGTCCACGACAAAGCGGGCCCGTGCCCAAGTGACAGAACCTACCGCCCTGTAGCTGAGTTGTGATTAGTTTGATTTAAACAAACCCGGAACTTTGTCCCTCCTACATGGTTGGTATGTATCCAACTTTGGACGTCTGTGAAAGGACAACAATTATAAAGACAAAAAAACGACCCCCCCCCTCCCCCCAACGACAAAAAATGTAAAAATAATTTTAAAATGAACAAATGACCCTCCCCCAACCCTCCACA